ATTACTATATTGTTCATCATGGTTTGTGATAGAGTAGGAAAAAACAACAATTAGGTTTGTTATTACTTTTTCTTTCAAATAGAATCATTTCTGATTTTGAAGTATAACTATAAACACACACACACACATACACACACATTTACGCTTACAGGCTTCTCTCTAACCCCCCTGCAGTGTACAGTTCTAAGAGTCAACACCAAGCTATTTTCGAAGGACCCTGGTATTAAATGAAACCAAACTTTCTTATATAACTTTTTTTCTTTCTGGGAGAAAAATTATTAAGAAGTCAAGACCAGGAAGCAGTCCATGGGTTTATTTTCCCAATAGAAGAAATTCTGATGCAATTGTTGTGTTCCAATGAATGAAAAAAAAGTACACTTTTAACAATGCTTAAGAACGCCTGCCACTTCCAAAGAAGGAGATCAACTCAGGTCGGCCTAGAATAGGTTTTATTTTCCTGAATCAAGAGTCATTTCAAGATGAAATCAGCTCACTTATCCTGGATTTGTGTTTCTGAGGAATTTCTGGATTATTATGACGCATAAAATAGAAACCCTCTGCATAATACTTAAGTATTCACTTGCAGTGAATTTGGACACAGTGAATACCTATAAAAACATAGCTCTGATAGAAGAATAGGACAGAATATTATCAACTCCATGTTTCGCTTCCCAGTGTCAGCCACCTCCCCCCACAAAAAGATTCAGACTGGGGACCCCAGGAGCAATCTCTGAAACAGACTAGCAAGTAGGATGTCTCCATAGGGCAGCTCCGAAATCAGTGAGTAGAGAAAGAAGGGGGAAATGTCAGAATCCCTAAAACACGGCAGTCAGAGACGTGTTCACAAGGCACCATGAGAGCTGAGCTGGCTCTTGACACAGATCATGAATCTGTACTTTAAACAGCAGCACTCTGCTACAACGTGGGTGAACCCAGAAGATGAGACGCTGAGTGAGAAAAGCAACTGTGGAAGGCCAGCACCGTATGCCCGCGCTCTAGGGCAGAACTGAAGAGATCTGAAAATGGAATGGCAGGAGGAGCTCGCGTGGACACCTGGGACGTGTGGGTAAGGGAGGCAGGGTTTCCCAGCCGTTGACCAGACACAAAGGCGTGAGTGTGAGGCTGTCAGAAAAGATTCAGACAGTGAGGCCTGGTTCTGATTACCTATACTGCATGCATGCTTTGTGAGCCACGTCGTAGGCCATGAAGATGCACGACAAATGCGTGTAAGAAAGAAGAAATGTTGAGAGAGAGTTTTGCAATAGGACATGTGTGCTCGCCAGAGAGACAGAAAGCAAGAAATCGCCCCCGGGGGGATGGCCACACCGCAATCCCTTCTCCTCCATTCTCTTCTCAGGATCTCGGGCACACACGCACACGTGCCCGGCGTTAAGTCAAGCCTCTGGGTCCTCGACTCCAGCCGCAGTGGGCAGTATGGGAGTCCAGCGCCACCTGCTGGTCCCAGGAAAAATTAAATAGAAAAATAAAAGCAACAACCAGCAGCCATGTACGTCGCCCCTTGGTTTGCAGGCCAACACCCTGGGCTGCCCTCAGCTGGGCTTTGCCTCTCCGAGCTGGCGACGAGCCCAAGAGCAGTTTTGTCTGCACACACGCTTTAGGGAGAGGACGAAGGGGCACGAAACTCTCATCTCCAGCGTCCTCACACAGGATAGATCCATTGCTAAACATTTTTTCAAATAAGTGAAGTAAAGGCATTTCGCAGAGAAGGGCCACCACGGGCAGAGGTGTGCGCGTAGACAAGGCGTGCCCGGGAAAGCGCGTAGACAAGGCGTGCGCGTAGACAAGGCGTGCGCGTAGACAAGGCGTGCGCGTAGACAAGGCGCGCGCGGGACGTAGACAAGGCATGCGCGTAGACAAGGCGTGCACGTAGACAAGGCGCGCGCGTAGACAAGGCGTGCCCGGGAGAGCGCGTGGTTCACTTGGTTCTGCTTGTGTGGAAAGTCCGAGGGACGGACAAGGCCGCTAGGAGAGCCTGGGGACAGAGGCCAGGCGGCCGAGGGCTGTGTGCACGCAAAGGCTTCTGGGAGATGCGAGACTGGGAAGAAGTTCCAGGCAAAGGGCTGTGCTGGACACGGTGTGTGCCCCCAGACCCTGCTTCAGTGAGGGCGCTGCTGGGCCTGGGCCTGCCACAGCTGGGGGCGCCTCTCCCATGCAGCCCCTTCCCGGAGGCCCTACTCCAATGGTCCAGGGGTGCAGGGCACTAGGCCCCGCCTTCGGGGGACCCTGGGGCTCCAGAGCCGCAGTGGGGTCAGCTGAGGCCGTCATCGGGACTGGCCTGCACTGTGGCCACCTTCTCTTCAGGCCACTTCTCCCACCCTCTGACACCGAAGGCCAGGCCGACAGCGCGCAGAGGCTGGCAGAGCGGACAGAGACGGCGCGGTCCAGCCCGTCCCGCTGCCCCGTGGCTCCGACCTTCAGAATTCTCCGGTGGCAGCTGATGACTTGGAGGAAATGAAGTAGAGGAAAAGGAGCCCAGAGGCCGGCTCCTGTGACGTTTCTGCGTCGTCGCCTCGCTTCTCGGAGACAGTCTCCTGTTTAAAACTGGGAAGAACGGCCCCAAGGCCCGAGACGTACCGGTGAGAATGGGCAGAGATAGGGAGACTTCCGTGCCAAGGTGGAATTAAAGTATGAGTTCACTGTGATGCAGAACAATGTGGAAAACCACGCGTCGTTTTTCGACCACGGTTTCCATGCTCGCCGCGGAGCCTGTACAGTAGGTCTGCATTCACTATGAGCTCGCAGGTGCTTCCGGACGAAGGCAGCGTCCTTGAGCCGAGTCGCCCTGAGGGCCGCTCCGGGTCAGAGGTGCGAGCTCTGTGCCCACACTAGAGTGCACGACGTAACCGCGTGTTTGTGAATGGGAGCTGGCATGCCAAATGCACCCCGAGAAAAATAGCGTGATCGCCTCAGGCTGCTTTGTAAAGCTGACACTGTGCTGTTATTTTTGTGGACACCCAGATGTTTGGGAACTTTGGCCTTTCTTCCTCAAAATAAAGAAGTCCTTATTAAACTAGGAATTTGGAAGAGAAAAAAAGAAAAAGAAAAAAGACTCACTAAGTGAACGGTTGGCTGGGGTCAGAGGAGCCTGCGGAAGGGTTCTGCCGCCACCTAGTGAGCACAGAGAGAACGGCAGCTGGGCTCCAGGAGGGACGCACCGAAGGTCTCCCCAGGTCCTCCCGGAGTCTTTGCCTGGGTTCCCAGCTCCCGACATTGGGGCGGGAGGGGGTGGGAAACGGGAGCTGAGCATCACAGCTCAAATCAGTCTCGTCTCGGGGTGAGACTGGCTCCTCTGAGCGGAGCGGGCAGCTCAGGCCAAAGGGGAAAGGCAAGTACACACCCACACAGGGCTCCCCCCGCCAGGAAACGGGGCGGGGGGGAGCTGCCCTGTCATTCCCGTGACAGAAGTGCTCTACAGGGCGGGCAGGTGGCGTGATAGTTAACGCGGCTGGGTTCCCATATGGCAGACCAGACCGCGGGTTCAAGTCCCAGACCTGGCAGCTTGCTCTCTCACTCTCCTCTCTCTCTCTCCCCCTCCTTCCCTCCCTCCCGCTCCCCGTCTGGTCAACCTCAAAAACTAAGATTAAAAATAATGATGATGAATAAGATTAAATTTAAAAATTCTTTTTTTTTTAAAAAGTGCTTTGCCCAAAATCAGTTACACCATAGTGTGTTAAGGAAAGGGGGGAAAGTTATGTCCAGAAATTAGAGAAAAGGGAAACAACCCTGGGTTGTACCAGAACAGTCACCGGGAGAGCGGAGCACAGGGGACCTTTATGTGGCACGTGCGTGTCTGTCTTACACACTGCCAGCAGGCACCGTGCCACCCTGCTGCCTCCAGATCAAACCGTTACCGTACAACACGATAAAGGGTAATGCCTTTGGACAGGGGTACGGAGCTCCTCATCTCGTCTGCAGGGTCACCAGGCCAAGCACGCGAACAAAACGATTTCTAGAAATCATAGTTACTGAGGCAGAAACTGTCCAAGACAAATTCCTCTCCGAGTCCCTGGAGAGCAACCACCCACTGCTGGTCTCCGTTACGGACCGCACTTCGTACCTCCCAGATCCACGCTAAACTAGTCCCAGTGCGGCTGGATTTGGGGACAGAAAGGGACACCAGTCTCTCTCCCCCCCTCTTCTCTTCCTCCCCTCTCTCCTCTCCCTTCTCTCTCTCTTTCCTCCCTCTCCCCACTCTCTCTCTTTCCTTCTCTCTATCTCCCCTCTGTCTCTCCATCTCTGTGTACCAAGGAAAGGCCGCACGAGGACACAGCAAGCAGGCACCCTTCTGCAGACCAGGAAGAGAGCCCTCCCCAGGAACCGAGTGGGCTGCACTTTGCCCTTGGGGCCCACCCTGCACACTGAGAGACACGCTCTGCTTTCACCCGCCTGGCCCGTGGCCCCGTGCCAAGGCAGCCCCGGCGAACGGACCAGTACTCAGCCCTACAGAGGTGCACCTTAGGTACTCTGGGTGCCTGGCACCTCCCTCCCTGCATTCCAGTTCTTGAAAGACGGGCACAAGGTCAGGGCCTGGAGACTCGAGCTATGACAAGGAACGCAGCTGTGGTCAGCTCTGGTACAGACAGAGGCATGCTACGTACAGCTAGCCAGGTGGGAAGGCCCAGGGTTCAGGGCCCGGCTGCCCTGGACCTGCGGGAGGACTCGCTGTGAGCATAATTCTGGCTGGAGGGAAGGCGGGGGGGGACCGAGGGTGGCAAAGCCCTGTGGGGGTGTCTCTCAACCTCACACACGGCCACCCTCACTGTCTGTACCAGTGTGCCTCATGCTCGGTGAGTCCAAGCCTTGCGTTCATCCTGACTCGAGCCTTACTTGTTAAGTCACCGTGTTCTGAATGACAGGAGTCAGGTAGCTGATGTCAACTGATGCTGAAGAACTGGCCCACGAAGAAGTCACTGCTGTCCCCTTCATCAGCTGCTTAAGTCACAAATAGTAACACAAGAAGCACAGTCTCACACCAAAGAGTAAGCGCAGGATGCCTTTATGTACTTATCTAGGCTATGCAGCGAGGGCTCACGTCACACCAGACCTCCCGTATCCTGGGCCCGCTCTTTGGCGAACATTTCCCTGTGTTTCGGTGGAGAGGAAAGTCCGCATTCATTCCTACACGAGGCTTTTTCACTGCTTACGGTTTTTCTTTTGCTACAGAGCCCCACCCCCACAATTTTAAAGTAATATTATAGGTCAAGTTCAAGTTTTTCATTCAGTTCTAATTCCTTTACATAACTCTCAGGAAGTGTCTGTTGCCTTTCTAGCTACTAGAATTCAGCTCTTTCCAGGCCACAGGTCGTCTGGGTGGCCCAAGCCCTTGTCGGTGGGGAAAAGCTCGGGTCCAGAGCCCAGTGTCCAGGGTCGGGCTGTGGCTTTGTCCTCTGTGGCTGTGTGGCTCTGCCTCAGTAAGACACGCTCAGTTTCAGCCGCTGTTAAGAGGGTCACGGCATGCAGGCTCTGCCCGGCTCTACAGGGCCGCCGGGGCACACCGAGCCTCACACTCTCCTTTGGTTTCGAACCGGTTGCCGTTGCCCCCGCAGCTGCTGTACCAGAAGAGCTGGCAAGCCTGCTCCTCCCTGTTGTAGTACCACCTAAGGACGTAGTACTGACACTCGCCTTCCATGGGCGCCAGGGAACAAGGACCTGCAACAGGACAGACAGGAACGAGCTGACTTCCTGCACCAGCCGGAACAGGAAGAGAGCAACGGTTCAGTCCCAGGTCGGGAGGGGTCCCAGCCTCATCACCAGCTGGCTACCTAACCTCGGCCAGGCGATGTCATCTGAGTCGCGATCCCCTCAACCCTAAAAGCAATATTTAAGGCAAAACATGATGTGGTCTTTGTGGAAGAGTTGGGAGCACACCTGAGCAGGGAGCTGGAAGCCACAGGCTGGCCATGGTCTGAGTCCCCGGCCTGAACACCCCAGGGGTGAGTGCACACGTCTGAGCAGGGAGCTGGAAGCCACACGCTGGCCACAGTCTGAGTCCCCAGCCTGATACACCCCAGGGGAATGTGCACACGCCTGAACAGGGAGCTGGAAGCCACACGTGGGCCATGGTCTGAGTCCCCGGCCTGAACACCCCAGGGGTAAGTGTACACGCCTGAGCAGAGAGCTAGCTGGAAGCCACATGCTGGTCACGGTCTGAGTCCCCGGCCTGAAGACCCCAGGGGAATGTGCACATACCCAGACTCCCCGTGGGCTGGAGGGCTAGATGAAAGGGCTGTGGTACGCCCATGCCCTGCAGGAGGGCACGCTCACTCTCACACACGCGTGTGCCATTGTGAGTTAAGGGGGGGACCTGCATCCCGAGTTCATCGTGGCTGCGAAGGGCACCCAGTCGCCCTGTTCTGCCCAGCCCCCGGGGTGCGGCCGATGTACCACTACCGTACAGGAACGTGTGGAGGAGGGCCCGGGACTGAGCGCCCCGCTCACTGACTTTGCCCCATTACCACTTTTTCAAACCATCTCGGTCTCTCACCACTCCCGAATCTGAAAGCCCCGTTTATTTCTTATTTGCTGAACCCTGACTCTTGCCCCAAAAGCTCACGTGTCTATTAAAAGAAAACAGCCCCATTCCTGGACAATGAGGCACAGCCCTGGGAGTCAGCAGGTTGCGGCACAAGACCTGGGAGTCCCTGGGTCGTAAATCAGGCGTTGGTTTTCCCAGATGTGTAACCCCTGCCTCCCAGGGAGAGCCTGCTTCCGGGCACACTCGGTACCATGCAGGGGTCTCCCTGTCAGGCTGGCCCTGAGGCACGGTGGGCAGCACCCTCCGACAGGTCCTCCCGGACCTTTCACACCCCCGAGTAAGGAGGAGTGTGCGTGCAGAAGGGAGGTGGAGGTGCACAGCCTGCCGCTGGGACGACCTGCCACGCCCCCTAGTGTGGGCAGCACGCGCTAGTGTTCCAGGAGGGCCTGAGAGCAACGGCCCTGTGCCCAGTGCACCCAGTGCACACCGCGTCCCCCACCTGAGGGTGAGACAGTGCGTGAGGCCCAGGACAAGGAAGAACGAATGCTTCTCGAAACGCTGGCTGGGGTCTGCGGAGGACACTCCAGCTCAAGGGTCCACTGTCCCCTCCGGCGGGCAGGCAGGGCTCAGCCACCTGAGCTTCTGAATGAAACCCAAGAGCAGTTTACACAGCCCGTCGCCCCTGACAGCCTGAGGCCTCTGTTAGACGCCTCTGCTGCTGGTCTGGGAGAGTGTCCAACGGGCCACCTTCCCTGGATTCTGCTTCGAGAGCTGTAGGCCCGCAGAAAGTCGCCATGATGGAACACGTGCTATAGGGAAGTCCTCCCTGCTGTAAGCTACTGCGCCTCTGAGGTGGTTTTTGGGGGGACTGGTTTTTGTTTTGTT